AATTGACTTTGAGACAATCGGACGGAAGACTATTAGACCGAGGACAATTGGACAGTGAGTTGTGGTTAGTGCATTTACTCTATAGGGATTAACAATAAGGTATTTAGAGTTCGAATTATTTGTTGGAAAAGGTTTTTAATAAGAGATAATGTGGTAAAATTAATTGTTAATCTTCTTGTAAGTTGCACTTAACCACGATTTATTGCCTAATTTCATACTGCAATTGTCTTCCAGTCTATTGTCTTTAATCGTATGTAATGGCACGAATTAATATTTTGTTTAAAATATTTTTCATTTTTAGTTACAATTTATTGCCGATCATGAACGTACACAAATTTATAAAGCAATGCAAAAATGGTTTCAAATAAGTAAATATTTCTAATAAAAAATTTTTTTAAGGAGTAAGAAAGTTCCTTCGTCATTATCGTTATCTCCACCAATTAAATCAAATTTTAATAATTTAAAAAGAAGATCTTCAAATCTTTCATCCCAGTCAACAAATAATCGACGTTTTAATAAAATCTCTGATGGGAAAAGAACAACATCAATGGTACAACAACTAGCTGAAGTTGCACAAACAGCCAGAGAACTTTTAGGAATTGAAACTAAACAAGAAGAGATTGAGAAATTCAAAGAAGAAATTAATGAAGAAGAAGAAAAATATAAATTAATTAATGAAGATGGTGAAATTATTGATGAAGATGGAAGGGAAGAAGAAAAGGGTAATAATTGTGAAGCAATAGAACAACAGCAGCAAAAAATAAATAGTAAAAAACAAAGGATAAAAGAATTCAATAGCATTCAGGAACAACAACAACGTCCTATTGATACAATTGGCCAAATGCTTTTACTTGGGTAAAAATTAGAAGTTTTAATTAGAGATTTAATATTTAAGTTCACAATTACAAAATTCATCTTTTAATGGGATTGATTGTTCATCTATTGGAAATGATAGTAATCAAACGTCAACTACATGCACAACAACAGAATTAAATAAAACAATAGATAATAATGACTTACCAAAGTTATTAAATGAATTATTATCTAGAGGAACAGAGATTATAGAAACAACAAAAGAATGTTTCGGAAGAACAAAATGGCCAATAAATTCACAAATTAAAAATGAAGGAACTAAAAGGCCACATGTTGAAGAGCAACTAAAAAATGAATGGAATTATTGTAATGGTAGCAATATAAAGGCAGAACAACATCAATCTATAATTCGAACACAAAAACAAACAAGTGGTTCAGATCAATTTGATGTTTTTGGTAATATTTTTTGATATTATTCTTGGGTCAATCCTGTCGACCTACAACTTTTGAAAGGGAATATCGAGGATTTTAGAGGGATTAAAGGGGATAAATACCCAGCTCTAGGGAGATAAGTACCCAGTTCTATATTTTAGGACCTATGGTCCGGCATTATGTACCTTAACTCCGGGTTAGTAGAGATCTCTATCCCCTTCAATCATTCCAAATCCATCGATATCTCCTTAATCCCACCAAATCCCTTAATATTTCTTTCAAAAATTGTAGGTCTTCAGGCAGTGTGTAGGTCATAAGAGGTGGACTCCTTTAATAGACTCGTATATTTATAGGTATGTTTATTGCTAGTCAATTAAGAACATTACATAGTCATTCTCCTTTATCTGCTTTCACATTGAAACGAACTTTAACTGGATTATGTTTTCAATTTGAAGCAGAACAAAAAGAAAGTGAAGGAAAAAATAAATTCAACTTTTAAATATTTTATACTATTGATTATAAATATTTAATAGAATTTAATTATTTTTCTACAAAATAACAATATCTTAATTTAAGAATTTTTAAATTAAAAGTAAACTCTTTGAAGATATATCTTTTTGTTCTTCTATTGAATTACACTCATTTTTATCTCCACTTTTTAATATTATCTGATCAATTTCATCTCTATAGATTTCTGTTGCCTTCTAAAATATGATTTTAGATGAAACTTAAATTTAAAAAATTAACCGATTTATTTATTGAAAGTGGAAGCCAAACATCTTGTTCAACCAATTTTTGCTTATAAAAAGAAGATTGTTCTCGTCTTCTTCGTTGAACATCATTCTCGGCACGTGTATATTTTACTCGTAAAGGAGCCAGGTTTGATCCCGATGAGGCCGAAGACATTTTTTGTGAAGAAGATGCTTCTTAAGTTTTAAAATTTAATTTAAAATTTTAATTAAATGCTTTTACCCTTTTGTGTCGCTGCTTTTGATGCCTCCTTTTCAATTGTACCTGCTAATGGTCGACGCATTTCATAGGTTTTCTCAACTGGCAACAGAAAAAGCTTTCCTGAAAATCATAAATAATAAGAACATTTCTTTTTTCCTAAACATAACTTTTTTAGATTTCAAGAAAATTTATTTTATTATTTTCAAAAAATTCAAACCTTCCTTAAAAAGTCCAACCGCATGACTAATAATCTCATGTTGTGAAAAGCCTTCTCCCATAAAAACTTCACCGGAACTCTTTCCATCAACATTTGTATTAGAAGTTGAAGGATTTAATTCTGATTTGGGTCTTAAAAATCATTCAAAAATTATTCTAATTAAAATAAAACCTTAATAAATCAGCAATTCCACCCGAACCACCCTTTGAGTTCCCCGAACCACCTCCTCTACTTTCGTCAAAAATTTGTTCTTCCTCACCAAATCGTAATCTTAAATGTTTAACTTGAGCCTTATAATAAGCCTGACATTTTTCAGAATTAAATATTCTTTCAAGCCAATTTGTGTGTTGCTGAGGAAATTGTAAACGATTTAAACTAACAATATTTCCATTTGACTGGTCATCGGAATCAAAACTCCTGCTGCCCTCCACAGGAAGTAAATAAACATCCATCTGCAAATACAAAATTAAGAGCTAACATGAAATTTTACAAAAATCACTATCACAAACGGATTAAACAAAAACTACAAATTAAAACTTTAATTGTAAACCTCAGAAACAATCTCATCGATCTCATTCGTATTCAACTGTTTTATATTCTCTGTAACATCATTTGGTACTTGTTCTGCAACAGCTTCACTCTCTTCCTCATCTGAATCAATAATAACTCTACGAACTTTAACATTGGTGTCTTTTCCTTTATCTGAGGATTGCCTTTGTCTTTTTTGTGGCATAATTTTTTGTGGCAAAAAAAAATAAACAGAAATCATATGCATAATTATGAAATAAAAAGAATATTCATAACTGATTAATAAGAAAAATACTATATAATTAATCTTTATTTCATAAAACTTTTAAGCAATTCAAGAATATCAGAACGAGTTCTTCTGGCTAAATCTAAAAGACTATCACCAGCACCATTAACGGCATTCATTTCAACACCTAAAATTAAAAAAAAATCTAAAAAAATTTTAATCATTAAACCTGGAGCTTCAAGTAAATATTTAACAGTTAGATACTGCTTATGTTTATCTTCACTTGAAGAATTAATTGCCAGATGTAAAGGAACAATTTTGCCTTAAAACAAAAAGATAATTAAAAACTACTTTTCTTATCTCTGTTCGACTATTCACATCAACACCATGCCTTAAAAGAATTGCGACAACTTCATAATTTGCCCAAAAAGCAGCACAATGCAAAGCCGTCCAACCATCACATGTTCGAATTTCAGGATCTGCTCCTAAAAATTTACTCAATAAAAATATTTCTTTAATAAAACCTTTTTCTAATAACCATTTACAAATTTCTATCCTGTCATTATAAGCAGCACGGTGAAGAGCAGTATATCCATCACGATCTTGAGCCTACAAGCCAAACAAAATTTAGAATAAATATTGTAGTAATTTGATAAAAACCATTAATAATTCAGGGTTATTTGCATACATTTGTTGTAATTTTGCAAAATCACCTTCCTCAGCGGCAGTTAAAAATAGTCCAGCTAATTCGTCCATTTTTAAAAATCTGAAATTTTTTGAACATCCCCATTCCAAATTGTCTCTCGTGCTAAATCAAACAGTGGGAGTTCGTCCAGTCGCCCAATACAAAATTTAAAAGACTGAAACTTCCCCTTGCCTAAGACTGAAATGGGGTACTCGACAATCGGACAGAATACAATTGGGCAAAGTAGACAATTGGACAGAATTTTAAAATGTCAACAGTAAAAACGTCAAAGGAGATTTATCGTTTCTGCTGGATATTTTGTCCAATGCAAAGAAATTGAGAAATAAATATATTTGTGTGTTTTTTCGAATATGAATTTTTAAAATCCAAATAATTCTCTCCTTTCATTCAACAAAGTCATGATATTTAGAATATTTTCATTTTTACTTCCCAACAAGTCTGTTTGAAAAGATCTTTTCCCAAATAATTCTCTTGTCCTTCTTCCTTGTCTTTCCATAGACGGGGCTGAAAATTAAATAAAAATTTTGAAAAATAATTCTTTTTAAATTTATTTAGTTACCGTTTCTTTTTCCGAATAATTCTCTCCCTCTTCTTTTATGTAACATTTCTAATTTAATATTAGAAATTCCATCAAAAGAATTTTCAAATTCTGCTTTCGAATTGGTTAAAAATAATATGATTAATAAAGAAAAAGGAATATTTAGATAAAGAAAATTATACATTTTAAAATTTTACTCGAAAAAATCCTAAAAAATGAATATGATTTAATTTTTAAATGAAAATTTGAAAATTAAAAAGGTAGATAAATTATATTTTTACGTCATTTTTGATAGAACAATTAAAAAGAAATACGAGCAGAAATTAAAAATAATTTTGGGTAATTTAAAATCTTAAAGTTTTTTTGGCAGGATACTTTCACAGTAAATAATAGATAAAATTTCATAAAGTGTGGATTTTATTAGCCTTTATTTTTATATTTTTTTACACATTTTTAGGTCATCTCCTTATGTTTCCCACGGGTTTATATTTCTGCAACTATTTTCTTAATGCGTAGATATAATTTTTAAAATAAGAATTTAAAAATAAAATAAATAAAAATCTATTTTAAATTTATCCCCACTGAAAAATTAAAATATGTATTTTTCCGGCAATAAAATGTACATATTCTGACTAAGAATAAATAAAAATTAACTATAATTAAAATAATTATTTACCCAAGTAATATGTGTCCCAAAATTTCTTCCAACAATAACATGCCAAGTTTTTCCTGTAAATTCATCCATTTGTTCTTTTATTTTTGTAGCTATTTCTGATTCCAAATTACAAGTCTTCAAATTATTTTTAAATTTAATTTAATAAAAACACAAACATCTAGAGCAATATTAGTAATTTCAACAGCCTAAATTAAAAAAAAATTAATTTTTAAAATTCACACTGTATCAATATGCATCAAATATTTTAAAAATAATGAAATCCTCATTTATTTGGACGTTAAATTTTTGATTATAATACTCTATAATGCATATAACCTGTTTTTGTAAATCAGTATTCATGCCAGAAGTATTTCTAATAACAACAGATAAAGATTGTCCTTGAATTGATTTTGATTGACTTCCTCCTATAGAAATTTTTCCTTTTTCATTATTCCCCTCTTGGCCAGCAACTGCATGTTTCCATCTTTTAGTGGCATTTCTATTAATTAAAAAATATTTTTAACAAGGAATGCAAGAGCGGAAATTATAAGAAAAAAATACATATTAGTATTTTTCAGAAATTACCTTCTAATACTAAAATTTTTGCGTTGAAGAATATTGTTAAACATTTAAAACGTTAAATTTTGATAAAAAGGTTAAAAAATAAGTATTTAGAATAAAAAGTTCTAACTTTTACATGCTTTTATGAACAGCTGGCTTTTTTTAATTTAAAGAAAACAAAATTACATATTTTTTAAAGAACTTCCTTTGATTTCATAGAGATCAACAAAAAGCAATGTCATGAGAGAATTCCCACACAGCAAAAACAGCTTTAACGAATCACATTGGGTCGCCCCATTCCTAAACTATCTATTTGTCTAATTTGTGGGAAAGTACCATTTTGTTGAAGTTCTATTTTGTCTAATAACATTTTGTCTAATTTTAGCCTCAATACCTTTTGTTGAATACCATTTTGTCTCTACGAATTAGTTTTGATTTTGTCAGTCCATTTCAAAGCCTTCATCGATCTTGCGTCAAAATTTAGCGCTTTATATTAATCTCGCTTTTTTAAGAAAACAAATAGATTACATTTATTAAGTTAATTTTGGCATGACCTCAAACGTCGTATCACAAGTTGAAGTTCCAATTGAAAAAACAATAGACCGTGAAAAGGTTTTTAAATAAAAAATTTATACATATAAAATATATTTAAGGTATGCCCATTACTTCTTCGAATTTTTTGTGCTCAAGTTCGACATAATTCTATGAATGATTATTCTCGTGGGTCTGTTCCACCAAATGAGCTGCAAATTTATACTTGGTTTGTTATACAGAGCTATATAATAAATTATTCTTTTAAAGTAAAACATTTTCGGTTCTATTATTTTTAAATAATCTAATTCTTAAAATTCTTTTTTGCAGGCTTGATTGCACACTGAAGGAATTAACTTCACTTATTAAAGATGTTAATCCTGATGCACGTAGACGAGGCACAGAGTTTAATTTTGCAATTGGTAGTTCAATTAAATTGATTTAATTTTTAAACATCTTTTTAACAATATTCAGTTGCTCCGGATCGTTATTCTGCTCGTTATGCATTAAGAGAAGTTGGAATAACAATCAGCGGGCAAAGATCTCCAGATGATGAGAAAAGCGTATCTTTTTGTTTTAAATTTTTATTATTTCTATATATTTAAGTTGAGTCAATGTAAATTCGAAGTCGGTGATTATATCGATGTTGTTATCAATCCACCTGATACTGGAATTGCTGGAGGACGAGGAAATGCAGCGCATGGTGTTTATGGGGCACAACGTCGTTCTGGTGAACGTGTGGAACGTGATCGAACTGGTTCTTTTAGTGGAGGCGGTGGAGGCCGTTATGGAGGATTCGGACGTTGATATATTTTGATAAAATTAAATTTCAGTTTGTTTTATTTTTTGAATAAATGTAATCAATTTTATTTTTGTTTTATTATTTGTTAATTTACAATCTAAAGTTATCGCTTTATTCGTAATCTATTTGTTTAAATTAAATCAATTTTTAAAATTATAACTTATGAGCAATAATTATTATCATTCTTCACCTGCTTCTGAGTCTGGTGGAAATGTAGAAGGAAGTTCTAGTCCACTAATACAGGAAGTTAGTAATTCAATAGCTTCATTGAATAGCAGAACTACAATTTATAGTGAGTTATTTTCATAAATTTGAATTTCATTAAGATTTATTTTTAAATCAATTTGGTGAGATACAACACACATCACAGCTAGTTGAACAAATTTCTTCACTTTATTTAAATGAGGATTGTAGTGACTTAACTTTAATTGTTGAGGATCAACGTTTTCCCGTGCATCGAGTGATACTTGCTGCAAGAAGCACATATTTTCAGTTTGTTATTTATAAATTATTTTTGAAATTAACTTTTAGTGCTATGCTTTTTTGTGGTATGAGAGAAACAAATGAAAATGAAATTACTTTAGTTGATACACCAGCAGATGCTTTTAAAGTTTTTAGATATTTTTAAATTTATTTTTTAATTATCTAGGCTCTTTTGAAATATATTTATACTGGGAAGTTACAACTTAAGAGTCTGAAATTGGATTTAGTTTTGGATATGCTCGGTATTACTTTAAATTAAAATTACTTTTATACTTGTTTTTAGGACTGGTTCATAAATATGGATTTTCTGATTTGGAAGAAACAATTCCAGAATTTTTAAAGGTTAATTTTTTCCATTTTCTTAAATTTCTTTAGTCTACACTTAAAAACAAAAATGTTTGTGCTATTTTTACTGTTGCCCAACATTATTCAATTGAATGTTTAATGACTACTTGCCTTGATTTTATTGATAATTGTGCGACTGAACTCTTGGGAACACAGGTTTTTTAATTTCTAATATTTTAAATTTTTTTGAAAGGCATTTATTGATCTTCCTGCTCAAGCTTTGGTAAAAATTCTGAGTAGAAATTCGTTTTGTGCACCAGAGATTGAAATTTTTAATGCTGTTAAACAGTGGATAGAGACACATCCAGATGAGGTTAATTGAAATAGTGTGACATTAGTGTGAAAATATAATGAAAATGCTACATTATCTAATTTATATAGGAATCAGAATTTCCTTCGATTTTGGCCCAAATTCGTCTTCCTCTAATTAAAGTTAACGATTTATTTGAGCATGTTAGAGAATCATCGCTTATTTCTCCTGATCAAATACTTGATGCAATTAAAGATCAAAACACTTTAAGCAGTTCACAACTTAAATACAGAGGATTTTTATGTAAAACTCATTTTTCATTGAAATTAAAAATCATCGTTTAAGTTCCTGGAATAAATATCGCAACAGTTTCCTTTGGTGCAAAAGTAATTTCTGGCGATTTCCGAACAGCTTTGCTTTCAAATCCGAGTAATTATGACGAAGGAGTTCCAACTGATCGCACATTTTCTAAACATTTGATAAATCCAAGAGATCCGGGAATAACGGTTTTTAAAATTTGTTACTAATAATTTATTTCATTTTGATCTTAATTCAATTTTCTCAAGAAATTAAACTCATCTTTTAGAAATTAAACAAACTTTAATATGGTGTTTTCATAAAATTTCAATTTATTTTCAGATTGAATTAGGACGACCATTTATTATTAATTGTATTAAATTTCAATTAATGGATAGAGATCAACGTGCCTTTTCTTATTACATTGAAGTTATTTCTCTTATTTTTTGTAAAATCCTTTGTTTCAGGTCAGTATTGACAAAAATGATTGGGTACGAGTTATTGATCACACTCTATACTTATGTCGTTCAAAACAAAATCTTTTCTTTGAATCAAGAGTTGTGAAATTTATTAGGTATATATCTTTCTTTTTTAGTCTCTATTTAAATTTATAAAAATAAATATTAAACTTTTTTATAGAATTGTTGGAACCCTTAGTTCTGTAAATAATACATTTCAACTTTGCAATTTTGAGGCATTGTGTTCAACAGAACAATTTGAAATCGATACAAAAACAACGTTACAAAGTAATATATTTTATTTTGAAATTGTTTCGAAATATTTTAAGTACCTCGTTCTAATGTTGCTACAATATCAAATAATGCAATTGTTACAGAAGGAGTTTCAAGAAGTCGAAATGCTCTTTTAAATGGAGATACAACAAATTATGATTGGGACAATGGGTTTTATTTAAAGTAAACAATATTTGTCAAATCTTTTTTTAAAGATATACCTGTCATCAATTAGGTTCCGGTGCTTTAGTAGTTCAATTACCGCAACCGTATTTAATCGAAACAATGAGGTAATAACGGAACATTTTTTTGTAAGTTTTATTTAAAGATTTCTTTTATGGGATTGTGATGATAGATGTTATTCTTTTTATGTTGAAGTTTCAGTTGATCAAATAAAGTGGACTAAAGTTGTGGAATTCAATGAGTGCAGGTATGAGTTAGATAAACAAAATCTAAATACTGTAATTTAAAAAACAGGAGCTGGCAAATTGCTCAATTTGAAAGGACATCTGTAGTATTTGTTAGGATTGTTGGAACTTATAACTCAGCAAATGAAGTTTTTCATTGTGTACATTTTGAATGCCCAGCAATGGATATAAACGAAGCAATTGAAGAAGAAAGAATGAAAAAAGTCCAGAATGTTAAAGCCTCCGTAACTGATTATTGTTCTCGAGCATCAACAAGTAATATTAGTAATGAAAGAAGTAATCTAATTAACAAACAAGAAAATGGACAATGTAATAATTTTCTGGGCATTACGGAAAATGATAATATTTTGGAAGTTGAAGAAAATGATAAAGAAGAAATAATAAAAGAAAATGATGAGGATGATGAGCAGGAAGAACAAAATGATGGAATTGAAAGTATAGAAGAATTACTGAGTGATAATTAAAAAAATAGAAATAATATTTTAGGCGACATTTTAAATGTAAAAATCTAATTTTGATTAAAAAATAATTTTGATTTATTTTTTGTATTTTGATTTTTAATGTTATTATCTAAAATAAGCATATCTGTGTTTGAAGGAATTCTAATTAAATCGATTAATATTCAGATGACAGAAGATTATATTCCAACACCTGAATATAAAATTGATCCAGAATTACATGGAAATGTTTATCCTCCGTCGGAAGACACTTTTTTATTGATTGATGCTTTGTCAAAAGAAAAAGATGTTTTTTAATTTAAAAAGTGTATATTAAATTTAAATTTTTAGATAATAATCTCACTAAATCCGTTAATTTGTTTGGAAATTGGCTGCGGTTCTGGAATTGTGACCTGTTTTTTACAAAAATTATTGAAAAATAATTTATTTACAAGGTTAGAAATTCGATATTTATTTTTTATTAATTTTTAGGGTGATTTGTACTGATTTAAATTTATCGGCCTTGAAGTGTACAGAAAGTACAGCAAAACTAAATTCTATTGGATTAGAATTTTTGGAATGTGTTCAGTGGTATAAACTATTTGATGTACAAACTAATACTATACTTAAAATTCAATATTAAAGTGATGCTATTGGACCTTTGCTTCCAAGATTATATAACTCTTTGGATTTACTTTTACTAAATCCTCCATATGTTCTTACGGAAGAAAATCCAGAAAATGAAAAGGTTTATTATTTTGCATTTTTAATTGAAAATATATTTATAGGACATTTGCTTTGCTGGTGGACCTGAAGGACGCAATTTATTAAATAAATTATTACCTTTTATTTCTAAATTACTTTCTCCAAATGGAGTATTTTATCTTGTAGCCATAAAAGAAAATAATATTGCTGATTTAATTTCAACTAAAAATAGGTATTTTTATACAAATATTTTTTACAAGTTATTTTAAGGGAAAGATTTCGATTAAACGGGACTATTATATTAGAAAGACAATGCAAAAATGAATATTTATATGTACTAAAATTTACAAGAGTTGATAAAGAAAATGAAAGGTAAAAACTAAATTTAAAGTAAATTTCACATTTTTAGCAATTTAAAATCATCGATACAGAAATCTTGCATTAAAGAAATTCAAATAAATACACCAAAAACGGGAACAATTACCTCAAATAAAATAACACTTCATTTAAAGCCGGTTGGCAACGCACCTCAACTGAGAAAAGAATTTACAAAGTATAAAGTTGACCCGAATTGGACAATATTTAATTTACAACAAACTCTAAAAAAACTCTTAGGTGTTAAAACCGATCCTATTTATCTTTTTATTAAAGAAGCATTTGCTCCAAGTCCAGAAAGCACTGTAAGGGATAAAATAATTTTTAAATATTTTTTTTGTTAAATTTAAAGATTAATTCTCTATATCAATGTTTTGGGACTGACGGTGGAATTTTGTATATTCATTATGGTTTAACACCAGCATGGGGATGACGTTGTTGAAATTCTTATTAACATTTTTAAGTCGTGAATTAATTGGATGGATCAAGAGGCTGAAAAAATTTATCTTTTCAAAATAAATGTTTTTAAACTTTTAAGTTGACCTGAACTTTGCAAATTTATTTTTTATAAATTGCCTAAGGCCTTACAAAATTCTTTATAATCTCTAAACTTTTCTACTTCATGAAAGTAGAAAAGTCTACTTTCAAAAAAACTTTTTACTTCTGATTTCTTTCATTTTCTAATTTCATTTCCTTTTTTCTTTCCTCAAAATAGGTATTAAAAATGTCATGACTTAGAATACGTCCTCTATATTACACATCCTCGATTGATATCTTCTGAAAGTCTACCTAAACAAAATTTTCAAATTCTTTAGGCTTTGAAGATCTTTTTTCTTCATTTTTTCGAGTAATTGACAGCATATCAACGACTTGACACTTTGACATTTTCCAAAATTAAATTAAAATTTATTTGCGTTAATATTTAGTTCAAATTCATTTGGCGTCACTTATCGATTTTCATTAGTTTCCTGAGTTTGCATTTTCTTGTTGTTATGTTTAATGATTTTTTTCACCTAATCTTCAAAGCTTTCTAATTTTTCAGCTATCATTTTAAAAGACAACAAACTATAAGCAATGGGCAACAGCTGGCCATTGCTTATGATTTGGACAAGAAGGGCCAAGTCGAGCGCAACGTTTTGATTTTTGACTTGGGCGGTGGAACTTTTGATGTGTCAATCTTGACTATTGAAGATGGCATTTTTGAGGTCAAGTCGACTGCTGGAGACACTCACCTTGGAGGCGAAGATTTTGACAATCGAATGGTTTGGAGTTTTTTGAGGGTTTTCTAAACTGAAAATATGTCTTTTTAAGGTCAACCACTTCGTTGCTGAATTCAAACGTAAGCACAAGAAGGATCTTGCCACCAATCCGCGTGCTCTCCGTCGTCTTCGTACTGCTTGTGAACGCGCTAAGAGGACTTTGTCTAGCTCCACTCAAGCGAGGTTATTTTTTACTTTTTTGACCTTGACTTGAATCGATTTTAGCATTGAGATTGACTCTCATGTTTTTGCCCAAGACAAGTCTACTGGAAAGCAAAACAAGATCACCATCACTAACGACAAGGGACGTCTTTCCAAAGATGAGATTGAGCGCATGGTCCAAGAAGCTGAGAAATATCGTGGAGAGGATGAAATTCAGCGTGATCGTGTTTCTGCAAAGAACGGACTTGAGTCTTACTGCTTTAACATCAAGCAGACAATGGAGGATGATAAGGTTTGATTTTGAGGGGATAATGCTTGGGTTGGGTGTCTTTGGGTGTGGGCTTTTGATGGGTTGTCCTTGGCGGAAGGACTGTGGATAGGAATGCGCGGTCTTTGTGGCGATGATCTGGGGAAAGGGGAGGGGCTGTCTTAAGGGGAAAGAGCTTGGGCCAGGAATCAGATGTTTTGTTGTGAGATGGATAGGTTGTCTTCCGCCTTCCTTTATTGACCCTTCCACTTTTAAAAATCCACTTTATTGGTTCACTTTCTTGTAAGGGACTTGTTTAATTTTTCAAAAATTTTTCAGCTCAAGGACAAGATTAGCGAAGACGATAAGAAGAAGGTTTTGGACAAATGTCAGGAAACGCTCTCTTGGTTAGACGCCAACCAGACGACTGAGAAGGATGAATTTGAGCATCATCACAACTCTAAGGTCTGGTATTTTCTCTTTTTTATTCTTTGGGATGGGAGACTGTCTTTGGGTAGGCTGGGGAGTGGAGAGGTGTTTTGTTGGGGGGATTAACTATATTTGACTAAGCTGTGGGCAGAAACGTGCTTTCTTAAGTATTTTTGTGAAGACGACAATTTTCGTATTTTTAATTTTAAAGGTATTTTTCAGATGTGTGCTGCAACAACAAAACTCGTACATCGAGGCTGACGGCTCTGTAACATCAACAGCTACACCGAGACTTATTATTGCAAGAAGTGTTAAAAATGAGCATTGGATTGCAACGAATCGATGATGGACTACAAAGATGAGAGAAGCTAAAAATGTGGCAAAGATGCTTCCGCCACATTTAAAGGTCTTGAAATTTTTTAAATGATATGTATATTTTTTGTGTGTGCTTTTCCGTTTACACTTATAAATTCTATTCCTGCTTCAATTTTTAATAATTTCCGAAATTCCAAAGACTAAGCTTCAAGAATGAAGCAAAACACGAAAGATTTTAAGTGTAAGTGAAAAACGGAAAAGTACAAATCTTTGCCACTTGTAAAAAGGTTCTTGCGGCTTTTTTATAAGAAGTTCGCAAAACAGTTTTTTACAAGTGGTATATTTTTTTATTTTCTTTTTTTTTTTGTTTGTGGTTAAAAATTGTTGGGTTGGGCCCCCTCCCCTCCTCCCCGGGCTTACACCACTAAAGACTCATCCAAGCTCAAAGAGCTTTGGACACTAATGCAACTCCCAAAACCAATCAAACTAGAATGACCTCCAGTTTATCACTTCTAAAGATTCGGGTTTTTCTCGAATGACACCAAAATCAGTATCATGAATTCGTATTGGAATAGCATTCCAAACTGAATTGCCAAAAATGTCCATAGGTTCAGGCTTTCATACCTCCGAGTTATATCCAAAGGCACGGGTTCTTATTCAATAGGTGTAGACAGTAGGGCACTAGGCATAGGCTTCCTTAGACGTTGACCTAGACTTTGACCTTTGAATTACCCCCCCCCCCTTTTTTTTACCCCCCCCCCCCAAATGTCCAATGATCAATCGTCCCAATGATCAATTGTCAAGTGATCAATTGTCCCAGTGACCAAATGTCCAATGATCAATCGTCCCAATGATCAATTGCCCAGTGACCAAATGTCCCAGTGACCAAATGTCAATTGTCCCAATGATCAATTGCCCAGTGACCAAATGTCCCAGTGACCAAATGTCAATTGTCCCAATGATCAATTGTCCCAGTGACCAAATGTCCCAGTGACCAAATGTCAATTGTCCCAATGATCAATTGTCCCAGTGACCAAATGTCCCAGTGACCAAATGTCCAGTGACCAAATGTCAGTGATCAATTGTCCCTGACTGTCCCACACTAAAAATCCCACACTGAAAATCTGGCACCAAAAATGAACGACTCCCCTTTTTCAAAAATCCTCTCCACAGGTTCAGGCTTTCATACCTGCCAGTTATATCCAAAGGCACGGGTTCTTATTCAATAGGTGTAGACAGTAGGGCACTTAGACCTTAGATTAGACCTAGAACCCCCCCCCCCCCTTCCCGCACTTCAACGGTCCGTCTACAACTTCAACTGCTCTTGCCAACGGTCTACAACTTCAACAGCTTCTGCCAGCCGTCTACAACTTCAACTGCTCCTGTCATCCGTCTACAACTTCAACTGCTCCTGTCAGCCGTCTACAACTTCTACTGCGCCGACTCTACTGTCCCCCGGGCCCCGATACGGTACTCTAATTCACCCCCGGGTCCTACATGGTGCTCTACTGTCTATCCCTATTTTATAAGACCCACCTTTCTTCCACCATATTCAAGCCTGGCCCATATGTAACTCCTCATTTTGTCCGTCAGACAAAATGTCACTCCTCATTTCGTCCGTCAGACAAAATATCACTCCTCTTTTCGTCCGACAGACAAAATATCACTCCCCAATTCGTCCCGCAGACAAAATATCACTCCTCATTTCGTCCGAGAGACAAAATATCACTCCTCATTTCGTCCGAGAGACAAAATATCACTCCTCATTTCGTCCGAGAGACAAAATATCACTCCCCAATTCGTCCCACTCTAAATATCCGGCACCAAAAATGACCCGCAATGAAAATTCCCGCACTGAACTGACCGACCCCCCTTTTCAGAAGAATCCTTTCCATAGGTTCAGGCTTTCATACCTCCGAGTTATATCCAAAGGCACGGGTTCTTATTCAATAGGTGTAGACAGTAGGGCACTAGGCATAGGCTTCCTTAGACGTTGACCTAGACTTTGACCTTTGAATTACCCCCCCCCCTTTTTTTTACCCCCCCCCCCAAATGTCCAATGATCAATCGTCCCAATGATCAATTGTCAAGTGATCAATTGTCCCAGTGACCAAATGTCCAATGATCAATCGTCCCAATGATCAATTGCCCAGTGACCAAATGTCCCAGTGACCAAATGTCAATTGTCCCAATGATCAATTGCCCAGTGACCAAATGTCCCAGTGACCAAATGTCAATTGTCCCAATGATCAATTGTCCCAGTGACCAAATGTCCCAGTGACCAAATGTCAATTGTCCCAATGATCAATTGTCCCAGTGACCAAATGTCCCAGTGACCAAATGTCCAGTGACCAAATGTCAGTGATCAATTGTCCCTGACTGTCCCACACTAAAAATCCCACACTGAAAATCTGGCACCAAAAATGAACGACTCCCCTTTTTCAAAAATCCTCTCCACAGGTTCAGGCTTTCATACCTGCCAGTTATATCCAAAGGCACGGGTTCTTATTCAATAGGTGTAGACAGTAGGGCACTTAGACCTTAGATTAGACCTAGAACCCCCCCCCCCCCCTTCCCGCACTTCAACGGTCCGTCTACAACTTCAACTGCTCTTGCCAACGGTCTACAACTTCAACAGCTTCTGCCAGCCGTCTACAACTTCAACTGCTCCTGTCATCCGTCTACAACTTCAACTGCTCCTGTCAGCCGTCTACAACTTCTACTGCGCCGACTCTACTGTCCCCCGGGCCCCGATACGGTACTCTAATTCACCCCCGGGTCCTACATGGTGCTCTACTGTCTATCCCTATTTTATAAGACCCACCTTTCTTCCACCATATTCAAGCCTGGCCCATATGTAACTCCTCATTTTGTCCGTCAGACAAAATGTCACTCCTCATTTCGTCCGTCAGACAAAATATCACTCCTCTTTTCGTCCGACAGACAAAATATCACTCCCCAATTCGTCCCGCAGACAAAATATCACTCCTCATTTCGTCCGAGAGACAAAATATCACTCCT